TGCTTGTCCTTCTCGTCCCCGCAGCTGGTGGGTTCGGACGAAGGCCTGCAGCAGAAGTTGGCGGAGGCCATCCTCCGAGAGAAGAAGAACTTCAACATCAGTGTGTGAGTGGTTGGGATGGAGATGCGCCGCCTGCGGCCCCGGCCGCAGGACCGTAGCGGGGTCGTGCAGGGGCCCTCTGCCGCCTGTGTCCAAGAGAGGGAGCCAGAGCAGCGGCTGCGGTGCGACCTGACAAGAGGTTTCTGCTGCGGAAAACGCACGCGCCGAAATTGCTTGTAAATGCAGCTTCTGCCCGAGCGGCGGTAGTTGGAACTGCAGGGCGTTCGTTTGGAAGAACGAACTTGCTCTTGCGAACGCTAGGGCGCACTGCTGCGCAGATGGGGCTGCCGCCTGCGGCAGGCAAATGGCTCTTGGCTTCAGGGCAAGCAGTTTGGGCATGATTGGGGGTGGGAATAGTTCTCGCATTCATCATGTTCACCGTGCACAGACCATTGCCCTTTGCATGTTACACAGGTGTTTGTTTAATAAAAAGCAAGGGTATGAGAGGAGCACGGATTTATTTTTTTCTCCTGGGAGACAGATATATGCAGGAATTGAATATACTGGGCCAAATTGGGACAAGCACAATGCTTGCAACTACTTGAAGGCAAACGAGTTTTCCTAAAAGATGTCCATTACTTTTGGTGCTCTTCAGAGCCGTCTTCTGGTTTGTACGTACGCGTGTGCTTTTCCTCCTCAAGCTATTAAGATGCATTTAAGAATTTGAATTTTAGCTGCATGACAAGTCCTGTCTTAAAAGCTTGATTAACTAACTTTTTATAATACAATGTCCTTGACAGCTCTCTTGCCAAGACCAAATGAGTTTAGTCAGCTCTTCAGAAGGTGTTTATGTTATTTCTTGGCTGTAGTCCAAGGCTATGCAGTAAAGGCAAGCCCGAGTTAATGCTCTATTAGCCAGTTAGAGCGACTGTATTACTCCGATTATGGCATCTTGGATGTTTGTGCTAACTAATAGTAAATTAATTACCCAATCTTCTATGCAAATCCTGCAGCCTCTGCTGAGCTGTGGAGTATCATAACTAGATGGGTACTGGTACTACAGCTGGGCAACTACCCAAAGACATGGAAACTTATACTCTACTACAGAGCAAGATAAGTCCCTGCGCTAGTATCACTAGGGAAGTAGATGGCCGTGAGGAAGCAGAAGTCTGTGACAGTGTCATCATGTGTTGTCCCCCCCTGCCGTGTTGATTTGGGATTATACACGTTACAAAGAAATATGGTATCTTGTCTGGCAAGTCTACCTGCCAGATACAGCTGTTGGGAGAAGAATTTCAGAGCTGCGGTTTTTGTGTCTCTTAACACTAGGAAAAAAAAAAGGCTTCTGTAGCACATATCTGGAGGTTGCTGACATCATCTAGTGATGTTGGTTTAAATATCCTTTCACCACAGCTTCTCCCCAAATTTCACCTTAAATTTATAAGCTTAGTTGTGTTGCAGTGTGTCTTTTAAGTGCATTTTGCTCATATCTTATATTAGTTTCAGAGTATTTTTGTTAAATCATACCTTCCTCATTTATAGGAAACAAAACACCTTTATTTGGGGACTGGCAGACAAAACTACAAACTGCGTGTTATTAATAGACGGGAATGTGTACCGTGGTCTGTGGCTGCTGAGGAAAACCGTTAAGTCCTTAAGATTCCCCAAGGAGACCAAAATCAGTGTTTCTCTCTTGGCTTCCAGAGAGGAAGTGGGTTGTGAGAGACTGAAATTCTGGGATTTTTGTTTGTCCAATCTATTTTTCAGGTGATCTTCCAAAAATATGGTGCTGCTAATATTCTTTCCTGTGGAAGGCCCAGATATGCACTACTGAAGCTTTTTTTTTTTAAAATTTTATTTTATTTGTAGTGGGAAGAGACACCAAAAACCACCACCCTGTAATTCTTCTTCCAACAGCTGTATCGGCAGTGGTGGTATTGTGTAGAAGGACACCTGAACTAACATAGTAACTCCTGACACAGTTGAAAGGGATAAAAAGGGGGGTAATGGTATAATAGAAGCTCTTTCTGAGTTACAACGTCATCTATAAAGCTATACTAGTGATAAATTTCTGGTTTAAGATTTTGCGAGTACAACACGCCTTTCTGTAAAGTGGACACCTGAGAAGGTAGCGTCTCCTGTGTGGGCGTATGAGCAGTATCTCTGGAATGTGACAGGATAGCACTGACGTGTTTTAACTGAAACTTGACAGTAAAATATACTAGTAAAGCGTTGGGCTCACTTTGTTAGAAAGGAATCTTCTTAACAATTAAATAAAATGACTGTCATACAGATCTGGGCGGAGAAAATGTTTCTGTGAGTCTTGTTATACCCTAATAAGCTTCCCATTATAAACAGCCTTGTCTAGCAAGTATCATTGTGGCTGTCAGCAACTGTGAGTGGGCCGAAGATATGAGAATACCACTTAAAAGAATCACAGTGTCTCTTCAGTGCCTACATATTTAAGTAATTAGCAGGCTTCCTGATAACTTGCTACATGGTCAGCTGCCATGGTTATGTGGTTGTGGTTAAGTGGATAATGCCTTGCCAAGCTATTTGGTTAAACCAGTAAATTTATTATCTTTCAGTCACCTTGCTACATCTCTCCCCTTACCTTCAGAGAGGGATCACCTTCGGCCCAGGATAGATCTGATTGCATTTATGATTGACATCAAGAGCAAATACAGGTAAAAGAAGGGCAAAAATATGAGAGGGGAAACATATTCTTTCTTGGATTGATGGCTAAATCTACATTTTTACTGTTGGAATTGCTGAATAGTGGATTTCAAACCCAAGACTTGCTGTGCTGGGAGAGCTCAGTAATGCATTCAGTGGTTTTCTGGCCTCCAGCCATGGATCAGGACTGAACTGCTCTGTCCAGTAACATGTCTGTTGTGCACTAAGTTGTCATGGTAGAGAGGGCAGATTTATTCCTGGATCTAGACATGGGATGATAAGCACTGAGCTTTGGAAAGACGCTATCTGTGAAATTAGGTGGAAATTATGGTGGTGCTGGTAAGTTCTGTAATATGCAAATGGCTGATGCGTGCTGGGCAGTGCTACCTAATAACCAGGCAGTTGCTGCGTCTGTGTCCCCAGTTCACAGATACTGCCGGTCAAGTGGGATCAGCACTGCAGGTGTGTCTAAGCAAAAGAGAAAGGTCTGCAGGGATTGATCCCTCTTCTCTCAACTTGTGCTCATTTTTGTAGAAATGATATTTGTGTCCCTGGCCATAAGTAAAGACTTGCTAAGGCACAGAAGGCAGTATTTTATTACTTAACTTGTGACTGATGATCCTGGGCCTCTCATTTACCAAAAATGACAGGCCCAGCTGCATACTTACAGCACAGATGGTGCTGCAGAAATGCGTTGGCTAGCTCTTCTGAAAGAGCCGAAGTAGTGCTGAAGTCTCGTTGGATGTTAACGAATTTGGATGCTTAGTGTCCGCAAATCATGGAGGACACCCTTCAAACTAAGTTTAACTGTTGAGTCTTGGGTGGGAAGGATGTGTTATACATTATTAAACAGCTGTGGATATTACAAGGGTCTCTGCTGCCATGCTTTTCGCATAGAGCATAACTCTGCCGGCTCAGAGATCAGCAGATGTTAACATCACTGGTTTTCTAATTGTGCTCCTGAAAGTTATTCCCTTTGGCCTTGTGCTGCACTGCTTTTACCTCCTTGCCCAACTGGATTGTCTGTGCTTCTTTCAACAGCTTGAAGAATGTCGAAGCTTCCCTAGCTCATGTGGATGTCAGCTTCTTCCTGGGGAAAGTGTGCTTTCTTGTCACTGGGGGTACGTATGGCATCTGCCCTCTTCCTCCTCTCTGAGCAGCAAAACTCGCTATTGCTTTCCTTAAAACAAGGCAGTGACTTAACTTGAAACAAAACAAAGGAAACCAGTGGCTTTGTTGAAAGCTTTCTTTAATTATTTCTGAACTCATCTGCCTTTTTGTATTGTTTTCTTAGATAAAACACAGTTCTCTTCTCTCGTGCTCACTTGCTCTCTCCTTTTTGTTTTTGCCAGTCAGACCTCTCTTCTCTGTCCCTAATCCTGAATATGATTTGTGTGATTGGTTTTTACTTTTTTTTTCCTGTGGCACTGCAGAAGTCTGTTCTATCTGCTCTTGCAGATCTCAATGATAATCTTAATGAGCAGTGAGGAGCATATGATACTGTGGTAATAAAATGAATCTAAATGGATGAGCTACTAAACTATTAAGTATAGTTTTAATACAAGACTGGTATCCCTGCTGTGTACTCACTATCTCCTAAAGGCTGATAAAGTGCTTTTTTGCATACCCTCCCTACTCAGCTCTGAGGAACTGGAGGGGCCAGCCTGTACTGCTCAGTGTTGGAACAGAGATGCTGGAATTTGGGTGTCAGGAGGGCTAATTCTTGGGTGGAAAAGAGTCTTGGCATTGTCTTGTGCTATGGTTCTCCTGATGGAGTGAAGACCTTGGAAGCATCACCCTGTGATACCACATGAGCCAGGAGGGCTTCTGATTAATGAGTAGAAGATTCTGCCCCTGCTGACTGATCCCTTATTCAA